TGATTTATTTGAATAAGGATAATTTTCTGACCGTAACAGAATTTTATATAAATACCGAATGGAAAGCGGTAGAACAGCCTTAACCTAAAGTCGGCTTACATAAAAATGATGATTTTTTAATTGACTATAGAATTATGTACTAATAATAACACTAAGCAATATGTATGAACAAGTTTCATTCACTATTTTTCATTTATTTTATGTCTTTAAATATACGCACCCCGTTTACAACTTTCTAGGTAAGCTACCAATTCTATTCATCGGTAGGCGTGTTGGTAGCATTATAAATGCGCGTCCTTGGTTCTTTAGATTTGGCGTTTACTGTACTAATCTGTGCTACTAATGACATCAACACTTTCGTGTACATGACGTCATCGTTTTTTTTTATAAAAAACAATATATTTTTCTCTTCTTTTTCAATTCCCCAATAATAGACGATTGCAAAATGTATCTATTATCGGGAAATTCAAAATTGAAGAGAAAAATATGTAGCTCTATAAAAAAAAATATCGATGACAATTGTAACGTAAGACACGTACCTAGTTGACCCGCGTAGGCATTTTTTTAAATAATACTGAACAGAAAAATATCGAATTTATTCCAACCTATACGTGTCCTCATGCACTGTAGGTATATTATACTTACCCATATATATACATTACTAAAAGGTTGGTACTTAATTACAATTTTTTTAATAGGGAGTGGGTGGCTCAGTGGTTAGAGTCTGGACTTGCGAATCAAAGGGTCCTAAATAGCCGGAGAGCTAGTAACACACATTCCATTAAGTGTTTGATGCACTTTAAAATTTTGTAATTTGAAATCATTTGGATGGAAAAGCAGATATATATGTATTAGCTAGACCCACCCCGGGACACCAGGTACTGCGCATAATAGAAAGGGGTCGTAAAATATGACCCAAAAAAAGTGTTTGATTCAGATGCCAACAAACAACAATTGAAAGTTTAGGTAATTCTAAAAATACTAGTAATTTAGGCAGACACTTTTGAGAGGGTTTTTAATTGATAAATCAACCTCAAAGTTGATATTTTTTTTTAAATATGATTTAAAGTGTTTAATAGCGTTTTAATTAAATATAAAAAAAATTAATTCCAAAAAGGCAGACACTTTTTCCGGGGTTTAATTGCCGGCCAACATAAAAATGAATGAACCTCGTTATGCGCCACTAGGCATTGAATAAGTATATACTTTTTAAAAACTAAACATTTTAAATTACCAAGACTGTGAAATAATAAAACAATAATATTTTTCCTTTTTTTTTTTAGGAAAAAAAAAACTAAAAGTTTCGGGGCTCGAACCACCAACTTGCTATCCACACTTTTAAAATTTGGATAGTGTGGATAGCAAGTTGGTGGTTCGAGCCCCGAAACTTTTAGTTTTTTTTTTCGTTTTTTTTTTTCCTAAAAAAAGAAAAATATTATTGTTTTATTATTTCACACTCTTGGTAATTTAAAATGTTTAGTTTTTAAATAGTATATACTTATTCAATGCCTAGTGGCGCATAACGAGGTTCATTCATTTTTATGTTGACCGGCAATTAAACCCCCGAAAAAGTGTCTGCCTTTTTGGAATTAATTTTTTTTTATATTTAATTAGGACGCTATTCAAATTTCAGCGTGATTCAAACACTTTAAATCATATTTTAAAAAAAATCAACTCTGGGGTTGATTTATCAATTATAAACCCTCTCAAAAGTGTCTGCCTAAATTACTAGTATTTTTAGAATTACCTAAACTTTTAATTGTTGTTTGTTGGCCTCTGAATCAAACACTTTTTTTGGGTCATATTTTACGACCCCTTTCTATTATGCGCAGTACCTGGTGTCCCGGGGTGGGTCTAGCCAACACAGGTATATCTGCTTTTCCATCCAAATGATTTCAAATTACAAAATTTCAAAGTGCATCAAACACTTAATGGAATGTGTGTTACTAGCTCTTGGACTAAAAGTGGCGCTAGGAAACAGTTACAAGGCATGCTGTTAGGGTCCAGGCACAGGTGCAGGAGTAGAGTACTCTTGATGCACTATGGAGGATAACAGACTACTAGTATTCACTCCATTACCTACATAAAACACGAGGCTATAATGACCTATGTTGTCGTAGCCAAAGACCGATAAAAAAATACAAAAGGGTACTGACTAGTACTGAGTATCTGGCAAATTTACTCCCAGTTCAGTAAGATTTGTGGTTAATCTGTGGTAAGATCATAATGACCCTACTGTCCATTCTCCTGTTCTTCCACCAAAACTTTATTTAAATCATAGATTAAAATAAAATTTTTATATTGTTTTCATTTTTTATTTGTTCAGTGGGGTCTATTCTGTAACAATTACTTTTATTTAACGGCCTTTAAAAATATTTTCTTCTTTACTTCTGTTATTATTTAAACGGATCTTTAAAATACATTAGAGGACTATCTTAAAGAAATCTGTTTAAATAATGACAGAAGTAAATTAACGAATACGGACATATTTTTAAAGGCCGCCAATATTTTTGAAGGCCGCCAATATTTTTAAAGGCCGTTAAATATAAAGGAATTGTTACAGAATAGACCCCATTATGTATTATATGTAGTTTATTTGAAAATTAATGATAGCAAAATTATATAAAAATATAGACTTTTGCCATAAAAACTGTGCTGTCATGCATTTTCAAATAAACGATATATGTGTAAAACTTCAATATTTGGTGATACTATTTTTTTGTTAGTAAAATACCAGCTATTGCATAGCTTTTATCGCGGGCTTTGAGCGCGGCGACCGAATCAAGAAAAAAACAAACGAAACCGTAACGGAAAAAACCTAACACCCCCCACTCCGACCGGCACAGCGGTGCGGCGTTGAACAATATTAATTTAATTTATTCAATAAAATAAAATCGAAAAATCGAAAAATCGAAAAATCGAAAAATCGAAAAATCGAAAAATCGAAAAATCGAAAAATCGAAAAATCGAAAAATCGAAAAATCGAAAAATCGAAAAATCGAAAAATCGAAAAATCGAAAAATCGAAAAATCGAAAAATCAAAAAATCGAAAAATCGAAAAATCGAAAAATCCAAAAATCGAAAAATCGAAAAAGAAATTCCTTAACGAAAATAAACCTTAACACCCCCACTCCGACCGGCACAGCGGTGCGGCGTTGAAAGCAAAGAAGTAGAGAGGGTAGAACGATAAAGTACCGTCTGCGCATCCATTACGAGGGTAGAAATTATGCGTGATTCAACCTTCCACTCTTATACATGTAAATGACAAGGAGAGGTTGCCCTAAAGCACTGTAAACAAATTCCAGGATTGGCTCTGTTCAGCGATTATGTTCATGTTCAGCTCTGTTTTTGTTTGTTTTGTGGCTGTTGTAAGCTTTTTTGGCGTCAATTCTTTGTTATCTTGCGCATATTTGTGATTTTTTGTGCTTTTATTTCAATTTAGTATTGAATTATACTTGTTAATTATTTTCCGATGCACTATTTTATAGTTGTTGCACAAAATGTTGTTAAACCGTCCCTGAATCTTGTTTACAAAATGTGCAAAACGAAATTGTGCATAGTGTCTAGACTTTTTCATTGACAGTTATCATTCTACCCCTCTCCACTTCATTGGTTGAAAGCACTGATCTGTATTATTTTAATACAGATCAGTGGTTGAAAGTCTTGCATCGTCTAACGTCGTTTCAGTTCGGCAGACTTCAGCACGGTGTTTGTGTGCGTGCGACTAGACGTATGCGTGTAGACTAGCTGCTAACTGCTCATAACTGATTCTATCTCTTTTAGACACAATTTCGGAAAAATTGAATTTGAAAATGAATAATGATCCACAAGAATCCACAACAAAATATGGGACCACCATTGACGCGGTATTTTCCAGATATTTAGAGGATATCAAGTCTCAAACTTAGGTTTCTTATTTCAGTTACCATAAACCTACAGTTTCAATGATAAAAATTCCTAAATAACCTACATGTATTGTAAGATAATAAAAATATTTTAAACAATATTAACTTCTCATTTATTTAATGAAAGAAAAAAAATTGTTTTCTTATCGGTCACCACGCTCAAAAAGTGTAACTTGAATTATTATCAAAGAAAAAACTTGAATTAATATCAAAGAAAAAAAATACTGCATAAATAAAATAAATAAATAATTATAATTGCATAAGTTGATAAAAAATGCTATGCAATAGCTTTACCGCGGCAGTCCCCGAGTGCCCTACGTATTTTTTAAGTGTCGGACAATGAACTGGAGTGGGGTAGAATCAATGAACTGGAGTGGGGTAGAATGCTTGTCAATAGACTTGATGTGCGACTCTATGGGCGAATGCTGCGTTTGAGAATCCACATCGGATGCATCTGAGATGTAAAAAATCTTTGATCACGTGATTCAGTAAACGCAAATGTAATGGGACAGATGTGTCCGATGTGGATAAAAAAACGCTCGAGATGTAAAAAATGCATCCGATGTGGATTCTCAAACGCGGCAGAAGATAGGTTATTTTTCATCTCACTCGGGAGTATTTAAAATAACCATTTTCTATTTCACATTGTTATTGTCTGATCCACCAGCTTGTGGATTGAACAATAACAATATGAAACAGAAAATGGTTATTATAAATAGTCCCGAGTGAGATACACAATAAAAATGGCTGCGTCCATCGAGTCGCACCTAGTTCTAATAGTACAACCGTTGTATGAAGAATTTTTCAATGAATGAAGATACAACATTCAACGGTACAACATATACATTGGCATTCTACCCCCCTCCAGTTCATTGGGTAGAATGCTTGTCAATAGGCATGAGATGCGACTCTATGGGCAAAGACAGGTTATTTTTCATCTCACTCTGGAGTATTTATAACAGCCATTTTCTATTTCACTTTGTTATTGTCTAATCCACCAGCGTGTGAGATGAGAAATAAAAATGGCTGCGCCCATAGAGTCGCATCTTGTTTTATTGATACAATATGCACATTGGCTTTCTACCCCACTCCAGTTCATTGGTGTCGGATACCACTGATCTGTTACAGATCAGTGTCGGATACCGTATTTTATGTTTTTCATCTGGCAACACTGTAGAACAGTAAATGACATGTATAATATTTCTTCTTTTTTTTTATCATTTTTCAATTTGCCGACTTGATGCATTGATGTTTACACATTTTTAACAATAATTTATGGATAAAGCCTTTTAATTTGTCGAAAAATAATAATTGAAAATCGCCAAAATGGACAACCTAGAAGCAAATATTATGGACAAGTCCATGAGATCAGTTTTCGGTAAGCCTATAATTTCAATATTTTAGAAAATGCTACATCAAATTTAATTTTTAGTGGGTAATATTCCTTATGAAGCTACAGAGGAGAAATTAAAAGATATATTTGGGGAAGTCGGTCAAGTATTATCTTTTAAGTAAGTAGAATAATATGAAATGGTAATGATCTGATTTTTTGAATCTTTTTAGGCTTGTTTTTGATCGCGAGACAGGTAAACCAAAAGGTTATGGATTTTGTGAATATAGAGATCAAGAAACCGCCTTGAGTGCGATGAGAAATCTAAATGGCTACGAAATTGGCGGCAGAAACCTAAGAGTAGATAATGCTTGTACAGAAAAATCTCGAATGGAAATGCAAAATTTGCTTAATCAACCTCCAGTAGAAAACCCTTATGGAGAGCCTATTCAAGCTGAGAAAGCTCCTGAAGCTATTAGCAAGGCTGTAGCTTCTCTGCCACCAGAACAAATGTTTGAGTTGATGAAGCAAATGAAAACTACAATACAGGTAATCGGTAACTTTCAAGATTTATTAATTCAAATTTATACCGAGTTGTTAAGTGATTTTTATTTTATATTTCAGAACAACCCAACAGAAGCAAGGCAAATGTTACTTCAAAATCCACAATTAGCTTATGCTCTTTTGCAGGCTCAAGTAGTTATGAAAATAATTGATCCCCATACAGCAGCTGTGAGTGTTTTTAATTATACTAAAAACAAAATTGGTGGATATCTAGTTTGAGCCCTTTTAGATAGTTGACAAAACTATTTAATTTGTATTTGTTCTTTTTATTATTGTTACCCAAGATCAATATTGTACTCACTTTTGAACTACTATGGAAAGCATTGTTTCTGTTTAAAGAATTTTAATGTAAAGATATTAACCATTTTTTCAGTAGCATAACAAGGTAGCCCGGGGCCCATATCAAGATAATCATCTGGTCCCCTTCTGTCTGAAAGTCACAATGTTAATAGTTTAAATAAAATCCAATCTTTAATTAAAATAGCTTAGTTGAGTGGTATTATATAACTATTCTCTACTGGATGTTATTGGTTTCAATCGATCTTAAAAATACACATATATTGTTGACGGTAATATAAAGAATAACTGACTCAGCTTGCTAGAAGGCCATTCTCTATATACTAAACAAACAGAGCGAATATTATTTTTGTATAAGAACCAACACATCCCCTCAAAAATATGAGTTTGAACTCGTTACTATAAGGCTTATGGAAAGTTTAACAACTAATGATCAAACATTTATTGCAAGGGTTAGGGAAAACCCCACAAAAACCTAACCAGATCAGGAATACTTAAAAATGAATGAATAACAATCCTTAATGCTAATTTGCAAGTTAAATTTCAAAAAAATCTTGCTTCTTATTTCTCTTGCATTCCCATCTTTTCTCTCTGTATCTTGAACTGCTGTGGTGGCAATGATTTTGTCAATAGATCGGCTTCTTGATCACCTGTGGACAAATATTTTAAGCAGACAATTTTGTTTTCTATTTCCTCTTGTGTCAAATGGTATTTAATGTTGATATGTTTATGATTTACTGGATTATTTGCCATTGCTATACAACTTTGATTATCTTCATATAATATTATTGGTTTAAACATATTGGCATTAATACTAACTAACAAATATTTAAGCCATAAAGCTTCCTTTACAGCCTCATACACAGCCATGTATTCTGCCTCACTTGATGATATAGTAACTGAGTTTTGTCGCCCTGTAATCCAAGTTACTATACAATTATCAAAGAGATTAAATAAACAACCTGTTGTACTTCGGCAATCTACATCATTATTTGCCCAATCAGCATCAACATACCCTACTAATGTTTGTTCGTAATTATCAATACACTTGTATACCAATTTTATATTTACCGTTCCTTTTAGATATCTTATTCACCAAAATATATTGGGATTAAGTGTTACAATAAGTTCAGTAATATATTAGAAGAGACTACAGGTTATCATCAAATTAGTCGTAATGATTTAAGAAAACATCTTAATGATTTTCTTGTAAATAATGTATTTTATAGTATAGAAGATTTTTTGAACTTTTAAACTAATCTTAACATGAATTGCCTATTATATATATTTTATTTTATTTTTTAATGTATTTTACTTAACACTTTTTTGACTAGTCTGATAGGATTGTACATTATGTACCTAGTTTCTTTGTATAGTGTATAATTCTCAAAGATGAATAAATTCCATTTCTATTAATACCCGCTTTAAACATAACCATAGTTCTTTATTTCATTTAGTTTGATATCTCAAAATATTTACTGCTGTACACAAATCTGAATGTGTACATTAAACATATTGAATTTGTGCAATATTGATTTTTTAAATCAAGTGATATTTCCGAATTTGATTTATTTATTCTTATGCCTAGAAAATATTTTATTTCTCTTAAATCAATCATTTCAAATTGTTTCATTAAAAAGTTTTTTAAATTATTCATGGTATTTATCTCTTTAGTTGTAATTATCAAATCATTCACGTATAAAATTAAATATGTAATTTTATTAACATCACCTCTACTCAAGAAATATAGACAATTATCGGATTAGATAAAAATAAAAAGTGGACATTGGTACAAAAGCCAAGTAATGTAAATATTGTCAACTGTAAATGGGTGTTTACAATAAAAGGCGATAGTAACAGGAATTGGGTTAAGTATAAAGCTCGCTTAGTTGCACAAATTCAATATGTTTAATGTAATGTTCTGTAAGCATCCAGATTTGTGTATAGCAGTAAATATTTTGAGATATCAAACTAAATGTAATAAAGAACTATGGTTATGTTTAAAGCAGGTATTAAGATATCTAAAAGGAATGATAAATATAAAATTGGTATACAAGCATATTGATAACTACGAACAAACATTAGTAGGGTATGTTGATGCTGATTGGGCAAATAATGATGTAGATCGCCGAAGTACAACAGGTTGTTTATTTAATCTCTTTGATAATTGTATAGTAACTTGGATTACAGGGCGACAAAACTCAGTTGCTACCTCATCAACTGAGGCAGAATACATGGCTGTGTTTGAGGCTGTAAAGGAAGCTTTATGGCTTAAATCTCAGTTAGTATTAATGTCAATATGTTTAAACCAATAATAATATTATATGAAGATAATCAAAGTCGTATAGCAATGGCAAATAATCCAGTAAATAATAAACGTTCTAAACATATCAACATTAAATACCATTTGATACGAGAGCAAATAGAAAACAAAATTGTCTGCTTAAAATATTTGCCCACAGGTGATCAAGAAGCCGATCTATTGACAAAATCATTGCCACCACAGCAGTTCAAGATACAGAGAGAAAAGATGGGAATGCAAGAGAAATAAGAAGCAAGATTTTTTTTGAAATTTAACTTGCAAATTAGCATTAAGGATTGTTATTCATTCATTTTTATGTATTCATGATCTGGTTAGGTTTTTGTGGGGTTTTCCCTAACCCTTGCAATAAATGTTGGATCATTAGTTGTTAAACTTCCTGTAAGCCGTAAGTCATATAGTAACGCATTCAAACTCATATATTTTTTAGGGGATGTGTTGGTTGTTATACAAAAATTATATTCGCTCTGTTTGTTTAGTATATAGAGAATGGACTTCTAGCAAGCTGAGTCAGTTATTCTTTATATTACCGTCAACAATATATATGTGTATTTTTAAGATCAATTGAAACCAATAACATCCAGTAGAGATTAGTTATATATTACCACTCGACTAAGCAACATTATAATTATGCCTCTTTTAATAAATGAACTTTAAAGGATATTCACTGTGTATTTAATATAAGGACCTACCATACCTTCCAACAACTATTTTAATTAAGGATTGTATTTTATTTAAACTATTAACATTGTGACTTTCAGACAGAAGGGGACCAGATGATTAACTTGATATGGGCCCCGGGCTACCTTGTTATGCTACTGAAAAAATGGTTAATATATTTACATTAAAATTCTTTAAACAGAAACAATGCTTTCCATAGTGGTTCAAAAGTGAGTACAATATTGATCTTGGGTAACAATAATAAAAAGAACATAAATACAAATTAAATAGTTTTATTATGCACATAACATGTGCAGCCGAATATTTTTATATTATCTATTTTCAGCTTTCTATTATGCCACATCTCTTATGGTGTCTTATTTAATTTTATTGCATTTGTTGGTGACCTGTTTACCAAATAAGTTGCAGTTAAAAATGCTTCACCCCAGAAGCGTTTGTTTAGATCCGCATTATGAATCATTGTACGTGCTTTTTCGATTATTGTTCGATTCTTCTTTTCCGCTAAACCATTTTGTTGCGGAATGTATGGCACTATAAGATGATATTCCGTTTTATTTACAGAATTCCTTCATTTCGCCTGATAAATATTCTCTACCGTTATCGCAATTTAATTTAGTTAATTTTGTATTGAAATTGGGCTTCACTCTTTGCAACGTAATATTTAAAATATGTAAATACTTCCGATTTATTTGACATTAGATAGGTTATGGTATAATCATAAATAAAGTTTACGAAATAATTTTTATGATCTATTGTAGAAGGTGTTATCGGCCCACAAACAATGTACAATTAATAGTGGTCTTTGTATATACCTTTTATCTTTAATTTTGGCGAAAGGAAGGAGTGTCTGTTTTCCGCTAATGCACGCTTCACATAACGAATTAATGAGGTTTATATTTTTTAAATAGATATTATCACTTACTAATTCACATATTTTAATTTTAGAAAATTTGTCTTTACTTATGTGGCCCAATCGTTCATGCCACAATTTATTTTTATCAATAATTGTAACCGCAGCTACATGGCCTGCAACTTGTGCTGTATTGAACGCATTTTGTATTATTAATTCTATAATATACAAATTATTTATGTGCTTACCTTTAATCATTGTCGTGTTTCCTCTTTTTATCTCCACATTGCCAGTATCCATGAATACCACCGACATTCCAGCCTCCTGGATATGCCTCACTGAGATGAGATTTGCCGACACACTCTTACTGTAGAGGACATCTTGCAATTCTCTGCTGTAACCAAGGGTTGTGTTGACTATTCTTCCAATATGTGTTGCCTCGATGGTCGCTCCCTTTTTCGCCACAGTTATGCCAATGGGCTCTGCCAGCTGAGAGTCCCAAATCATTGATAATGTGTTGTTGCACCAGAATCCAACACAAAACTTCCTGATCCATTATCATCATGATTTAAGTTTTCGTTACACATCATAAAGGCAAACGATTCCTTAATCACTACTGTCGAAGCACTAACTTCCTTATTCTTCTTTTTGTATTTTTCTTGCATTTTTACACTTTGCTAGTAAAAATAGCAATCACGTTTAATATGTTTTTTCCTGCCACAATGATAACATTTTTGTATTTGCTTATTTTTAAAGGTTGGTTTATTTCTTTGAGAAAAGTTATCTTTCTTTTTTCATTTGTATTTGTAGCACGAAAATAAAGAGCTTTCATACTTGTATCGGCATTTTCTCGAACTAGATACTCTTCATGTTCCAATAGCATACCTTTTACAAATGCTAATGTGCGCCTTTCATCTGTCATAGTTTTGATTGCTGCTTTTACTGATGCATAACTGGAGGGTAATGAGTTTAGCATATACCATACTTTTGTTGTCTCACTCACTTCCATATTAGATAGTTTTCACCATTAAACAGTTTTAAATTTCGCTTCATCACACTTGACACGCCACTGGCCATAGTTTACATTTTGCACGGTTTAATTTAAACTATCTAGATTATTTAGTCACTCACACAATGCTGCCTTGCTAAGCACAAAGGTGGTAACTGTAATAAACTTGAATTCGAGAAATTTAGATATTTTGATGTGTCAACTTTGTGGTTCTGAAAATCGGCATTATAAAGTTTCTGGTGTGACTGTTTATAGTCATTTTTAAAGATAATACTTCAATTTTGTGATTTTCTAAAATTTTATTTAAGATATTTAAAGATTTGATATAAATATCATAATCTTTTCAACTTACCACTTACTAATCTATTTTTCAATTGTTTATTACTACAGCATATTGCCGTATGTAATTAATGATCATTAATATTTATTTTATTTTTGTTTTATAAATTGAAATCTTTATTAACGAGGCTCTAGTTATAATAATTAATTTTGTTATGCACCAATTTTAAGTAATGACAAAAAAAGGAAGAAAAAAAATTAAAGCTACAGATGATAATTGAATTGCATAACATTAAATTTGTTAGTAATATCAGTTCTCAGTACTTTAATCTTCTACTTCATCGTTAACATCTTCACAATCATTTTTCGCTAAATCTTCCCAAAATTTTGGCCCAGTTTTTGGTATGATACCATTTAAAGGCTTCTTTTTATCTTTGGAAATTCCGTTAGCAGCATTTTTTTATTTGGTCCTAAAATACCGTCTTTGATTCCCAGACAGCACACCAAATCCTTTGGATATCTACTGGACATCCCAATATCCACTGAATGTCTAGTCCATGTTGGATATCTATTTTATATCCATGAGATGTAATTTATAGACATGCAAATGCCCATAAATAATAGTAATTATATAGCAAATTATTAAAAAATTGTGGCTAATAGTACCGTTCAGATATTTAAAATTAATTTTTTTTTGAGGTGTATTCATTATCCCATTTACATCCACTAAATATATCAAAGTCTAGGCGCGAACGCAAACCATGGTGGATATCCACTAGATGTAATTTTTGATTTTGCCCACTAAGAAGAAAGTCATTCATGGACCGGTTTCGTCCTTATTAGGACTAGAATTATTTCTTTTTTTAAGAATAGCCCGCCTGGCTTTTATTCCACCTAGTCTCTGAACTAGGTACTACAGCGACCTTTGATTTTGCTTACTAAGTATAGATGGCGATATCACTTTCGCTCGTTGAATATCTACTCGTGCTCAACCCGCCGTAATTGAGTTCGATCGAAATTGGTATTGCAATCAGACTCCATTAGAGACTAGAGTTGAGAATTTCCATTTATTGCAGAAGAGTCCTAATAAGGACGAAAACGGTCCAAGAATGACTTTCTCCTTAGTGGGCAAAATCTTTGAGTATTATTTGATGTATTTTACATCTCAGTCACATTTGAGTTTGGAATTATTTCCTTTTTTATCTATAGGATATATCCATTGGTTACTTATGAACCTTTCTACTAAAGATACCCATAAAATATTTTGCTGAATATCCATAGAATGTGTTCTATATCCAGGATATAGACGGACATTTGGATATCCATATTAGATCCACTGGATATCTATAATATCTTGTAGATATATTGGATAGCCACAAAATATATTCTGTGGATATCTCTGGAATTTGGTGTGTTGTCTGGCTTAATTTCACCTTAAGGAAATTAACTATTTTGTAATCTGGGTTCTTAAATGATTTTTTATAAAATAACGCCAATTTTCTCTTTTCTACTTTAACTTTACTGACATTTTTAACAAATTTACTAAAGCATTTTTGCGAATACTAAGGGTTGTGGGCGTATTTGTTTTCACAAACAATAAAAGAGCTTAGTATTTTGCAGATACGGCACTTTAACGTAGTATTTGAGGTAGAAAAGAAAGATACGACTATTTTTATAGATCTATTTTAAATAAAATATTGACTTTTCATGCATAATAACTTAATAATAATGTTGAAAATTGATAATTTAATGTATTATAATCAAAAACTCATTTTTGTTAAAAAAATCAGTTACCACCTTTGTGCTTAGCACAGCAGAATAGCAAAGGTAATATTGATAATTATCTGTAGTTCACTTGTTTTTTTTTGTCAAACCTACGCCGAAGTATTGTTAAAAGCAAACATTGCCATATTTAAATTGGTTTAAATAGGTGGTATAAATACATAAGTAATGAAGTACATAAACAGTTTAGTACATGTTTTAAAATAATTCTTTATTTATTTGATTAGATTTTGAGGGCATTCAAACAAAACAAGCTCACGGTGGGCCCCCAAAATCGCGGGTCCCTGTGACATTGCCTAGAACTGCCATATGATAGTTACACCACTGCATTTTTTAGACATTATTACATCCTGTAAATCAAGTTCCTGCAACTTTAATGCCTGGTGATAAGAATGTTCCAGTGCAAGTACCAATTAATAACCAATATAGGGAACCCCCAGCACCTGTTCAACCACCTAGACAAGAATTCCAGCCTGTGCCTCCACCTATTATGATTCCCAACCATGTTCAACCACCTGTTTTTACTGGTAAGAATAATTATTTCAATTTTAGTGTGAAGAAGTCCAATATATCCCCCACTATAATAGAGATATAAAATATATTCACAGAATGGTAGGCAGCACTATACATTTTAAAAGAATTTTCGAATATACAGGGTGTTCAATAACTTCAGCCTGGAACAAATGTATGTTTCTAAAATATGTAATTTAAGGTTGCCTACCATTCGTTTAATATATTTTTTCTACGATCACTATCCAAAGTAGGCTTTTGTGCTTCGAAATACAACCACAAAGTTGAGGTTTTCCATGAACTGACAATAAGTGACAGCTTTGTCGCTCGCCGAGAGGAAAACTTGACAACTTTGTTGCTTGCCTAATTTAAATTAGATGTAGAGATGGGATTTTTCATGAAAAGTAATTTTTGGACTAGTCCGACGGACATGTCCGGAAAAGTACTCAAAAGTTGTGTGGTAGTTGACCTTGGGCATAGAACACACACAGTTAAAAGTTTCTCCATCCTGGATGTTTTTTTCCAAAACACTTTGGGAATATTTGCATTTGTATTTTTTTCTACACCCGTATTATAATAATGCACTTATATGCCCATAATCCGTTTCATAATGATACCCATTATGATACAGATTTTTCATTATGATACAGATTTTTAATCAATAGAAACCTACAATTTTTCAATCAAGCATGATGTTTGACGTTTGTCCTAAATTCCTATGTAATTGTTTTAGTTGTCAAAACGTATTAAATTTTCGTAGATAGCTAAACTTCGATAATTATAATATTAAAATGTCTGATATCAGCGATATAGAACACTCCTCCACACATATAGGAGAAAGGAGAAAATGCAGTACAAAATATTTTGCCCCAAAAATCTGTGGTAATACCAGTACCCAAGGTAATACCATTAATTACAATTTTGTAGAATTTTTTATAGAAATACGAGTAATTACTGTTATTGTGTTCAATACCAATATAAATAGAATATTTATAGGTCTTGATTATTTATCGGGTGTAGAAAAAATAGCGTATGCAACTCTCATGTAATGGTTATTAAAACACTCGCATAAACCATACGAAACTCGCCTTTGGCTCGTTTCGTATCCCGGTTAATGCTCGTGTATTAATAACCATCATTACATGATCGTTGCATAATATACTATTTTGCAATCATTTGTAAAACTTTTGGTTTTTTTGGTCGTTTTTATTTTAATGAGATATTAATGAGTAATCATTTGTCGATCCTTCTTTTTTTAACAATATTTTGCCTTTGTTTGTAAGAAATTTAGACAGATTAGTTAATTTAATTTCGCATATGTGCAATACACTTTTGCACTTTAAAAAGTGTGTTTGGACTAGTCAACTTTTTAATCTAGTCTGACGGACTTGTCTGGGGACTTTTCCAAGCGACCCATCACTATAATATATTAATATTTATTTTTAATAAATTATTTTCAAGTTATTTGTACATAGTTTGATGTTTTTTTTGTTTTATCCAAATTAACATTAACTTTGAAATCAACTTAGTTTTTCATGATTAACTTAGATATAGGCAACACATTATACACTACTTACAATAAATTTTCAGTTTTTATATCTATTTCTTAAAATAATGTGATCATAGAAAAATCTTGTGTGCATTTTGAGCAAAAAGTTCATTTCTGCTTTCGACAGATTGCCGCGCTCTGCTAAGCGTCGCGCGGCCAACTTCTCTCAAGCGACAAAGTATCACTTTTCGCACTTAATACACAGATAGCTATTTTTATGTCTCAATGTCGGAGATACTGGACTTTTTCACATCGATGGATGGCCCTGTATAGTGCAGATTAATTTTAATTTGAATAATATATTTATTTCAATTTTCAGGGCAAGATGTTGACTTAAGGTCCCTGGGAACCGCCCCAGATCCAAGACTCGGGCCTGTGGTGAGGGACCAAGATATGAGACAAATTCCAGGCCCTATTCAAAATCCCTTACCGCCTACCATTGGAGAAAGGTAAGAAACAATTACTTGTAATAACGTTATCTCTAATGTTATTTAATTGTTTAGTTTAACAAAAATTGGAGATTTGAAAAGTGATAGGTATGTTTGTAACAATATGTGTATTATAAACAGTTTTTTTTAATGTGTAGTAATAATATAGCATGTGTGTTAAAGATGTGATATCTGAAAAGTTTTCGAAAATAGGATGAAAAAATAAATTATATTATATTGTGTCAATAACAACTAGTCATCTAAGATCTGCATCAACAAATCACCTCTACCTTCTTGGTTGTCAATCCAGAGAAATCTGCAAATTTTTCTAATCATCCTCTTAATTAAAAGTACTTAAACGGTTTTTCTTTTTATTTTGTAGCATAATATGCATTTACCAGAATTAGATACACATTATAACAAATTCTGTTTTTTTTACTTTGATTAGCTTTGCAAGGGATCCACGAGGCATAACTGCTTTTCCCACCGATCCAAGACAAACGCGTATGGACCCTCGTCAAAAAAATTTGGGTAAGGCATTAAATAATTCAAAGAAACATATATCTAAAAAATATTTTAAATGATCGTTTATTAATGTATTATTTCGTTTTTACTTATTAGTTCCTCCATTAACTCAAGGACCTGTACCAACTCCAGCTCCAAGACCGGTCCCAATTGTCCCTCAACCTGTACCAGTAGTCAGACCGGCACCTGTAACAACTACACCCGGTCCAGTGACTCCTACGCCTGCAGCTGCCAGTCCCATAGTAGGAACGGCTGGAGCGTCAGACCAGGAAAAGGTAAACATTAATTGTTTGTTTTTATTTAGATCATTTATTCTTTTTTTCTTTCGTAGGCTGCTCTTATAATGCAAGTATTACAGCTGTCGGATGAACAGATAGCAATGCTTCCACCAGAACAGAGAAATAGTATTTTGGTATTGAAGGAACAAATAGCAAAAAGTGCACATTCTCGTGGATAATTTTTTTTTTTTAATATAATATGCTAATAAATATGATGTAATGTGTATTTTAGGATTACATAAATAAAGTTAATACATCAAAAAAGTTCCATTGATACCTTTGTACCTAATAAATATGCACTTATTTTTAAAAGGTATGTAATTATTAACAAAAAAAGGCTTATAGGTTATAACTTCTTAAATAACAAAAATAGATAAAAAATAATATTTATAATTATTTTGACATACAAAGTGACATTTTGAAATCGTGTTAAAGTAAAATGGTCTACTTTATGTAAGTAGTTACAAAAACTTGAATATTATGTAACTAGTTTCGAAAAGTTCATTATGTCACCAGTTACAGAAAGAAAAGAAATAATGTAAATAATATAATAAAAATATATACCTACATTGCTTTTGAAAATATATATCGGAGGAAGGAAGTTTAAATTTACTGCATGAGTAGTGAAGTTAGCTATATAAATTGAAGAGTTGAAGTAATAAAGGTGACAAGTGCCAAAATTTGTATTTTGAGGTAATTAAGAAAAAAATAAAATAGCCAAATACATTATTTATTCTTAATTTGTTCCAAATTTAGATTAAGAACAAAATCAGTTTAGAAAAAAATAGTTAGGTATATAAAACAAAAAAAATAATGAAATTTCTAAAAAAAAAAATAGAAACGTGATAAGTGCCAACACAAAATTATTATTTTGAAAACACTAAGAAAGCATATTTACTGTTCTGCTGCTTCCAGCATCATTTTGAGCCGCTTCTTTTACTCCTAGTAGTTTTTGTCAAAAAAATTGTGCAATAGATTTGTTAAATAAGGTATCATAACATAAAATCAAACTTTTTTTGTTTTCTGGCGAAATTACATGTAGTTCGGCTTTTCTCAAGTCATTCAGAGTTTTCCCTTTTTTTTAGTACAATTGACCTCGTTCCATGGAACAAAATCTGCAAAGGTTGTTCTTGTTTTCACAATTTTTTGTCCTTCACTGAAATGTTTACTACCATTACTGAGGTTTTACATTAAGGTCATTCACAATGTTTTAAAAACAACAAATAAGACTGAAACCTCTATTATTGTTAACTAACAGTAGAATGGCAAACACATGGCGAATGGCACTTGTCACCTTTCTAAGGAAATAGATTAACGGTGGCTCCATCTTGGGATGTTTAAACAAAGCGTATTATGAAGATTGGCACTTAACACTTTTGTCAGATTATGAAGACTAGAGTCTTCATAGTCAGGATATAAACAGTGCATAGCACCATTCTATGAATATAACTCAAAATCAAAAATTTTGGCACTTACCTCCTTTGTTACTTCAACTCTTCAATTGGAGATACCTATACAAATTTTTCAAGTGAGCGAAAGCATACATTAATTATTATTTTCTTTTAAAAAAATAATTTTTAATTACTTGTGTCTATTTAAATATTGCAAATTTAAAAAAATGCGATATTTATTTTTTCTCAAATAGTTTCTAAATATTCATTTTATAACTTCTTTGATTAGAAGTACAAATTTTTGTTTGCCAAATAAAATTTTATTTATAAAATAATCTAGTCAAAATTAAAAAAAATCTTGAATGGAACACGTCATTGCGAAGTTCCGTTTTGTGTAAATCGTTCATTTTGAGGGATCTCGCTCTGCTCGTCCCTCAAATAATCTCTCATTCATTCGTTACTCGTTATCAATGCTTGTTAATAAACCGTTGGTTTAGTGATCTGCAACTTTTTTGTAAAATTAATATCCAAAATATAAATACAGTCTTTTTGTTCGATCTCCCTTAATATATTTATTTTTACCATACATTTTCTATAGACGGTATAAGTATAAGTTAAACATGGTACGTATCGCCAGACCAAAATTAAAAATATCCGATGCAAATTGCTGAGCGCGAAATAAACCTTTTCATATTAGGTAAGGCAGAATGGTACTTATTTTTTATTCTACAGTGCTCAAAAGTCCCCTCCCCCTCTTTTCCTTTAAACGGTGAATAGGGTTGCCGTTTTTTTTTTTGGGATCAATAAAGATTTTTCTTTTGTTTCGGTAGATCAAAAACGAGTATCTACTTGTTTATTTGTTAATGGTTTATCCTTATTTTATTACTTTTTATAATATTTAACAAATATTTTTCGTTCTTTGCGATCAAACTCTAAATTAAAATACCTACATGATCAGCTCGTTTTTTTTTAGAGTAGCTTTGTTCCTTTCGTTTCTCCACTTTTCATTCATAACGGAAAAATAAACTCTCTCAGTGAACGCTGAATTGGCAGGCACAGACCATAGATATTTGTGTATTAAGAGCGGAAAGTGCTACTTTGCCGCTTAAGATAAAAAGTTGCCGCTGTGAAGTGCGGCAAATAGCTACCCGCTCGAATTACCCACAAGATGTTTTATATGATCACACGATATTAAAAGCATATAGTTTTATTTTGCCGAATTCAAATCTTACTACATTAATTTGACAGACATGACTAACTTGACTAGCAAACGAAAAGTATGTTATGTGTATATTGTGTTGCCTGCTTACTTGAAGATTAATTTTATGATTAGCATAAAAAATATTTGTTAGTTAAGTACATCTAAAAAATAACTTCTAAGATCGGTAAGAATACTCTTAATTGCAAATTGATGGCTCATCTACTGTTTTAATTTGACAAATAAAAAAATCAATTTAAAATAAAAAAAAATTAACCGGTGAGGATTGAATTCACGACCTTTAGGTTGAACGACAAACGCGCTAGGCTCTACACCAACAATACGTGTTAAATATGAGAGTTAAAAACAGGGTAAATTATTTTTAATATTTTAATTATCATTTAAATATTAAGGAAAATGAGTTTAAGTATTTAATATTCAACTAAAAGATTCAAATTAGTCTACATTTTCTATTAAAATTCCGATTAACCTTATAATAACAACCTTTCTAATGAAAATAGGCGTGTGCAAAAAGTAACTTTCCGCCTATTTGCGACAATAATGTCAAACTATGACAATTCATGGAAAACAACAACTTTCCTGTTATATTTCAATGTGCAAAAGCCTACTTTGGATAGTGATCGTATTTGTGCTGCCACTGAAATGCGTTTTTCCGAAATTTTTTTAGCTCGGAAAGTGCGTCGTTGCCGGTCTAGATCGGAAAATTGTCATAACTGCTCGGAAAAGTGACATAACCTTCTCGGCAAAGTACCTACTTTCCCGAGCTCTTATCCAATATTATTGACCCAGACAGCACACCAAATCCCAGAGATATCCATAGAATATCTTTTGTGGATATCCAATATATCCACTGGATATCAGAAATATTCCGTGGATCTAATATGGATATCCAAATGTCCGTCTATATCTCAGGATATAGAAGATATTCGGATACTCAGTAAAATATTTTATGGATATCTTTAGTAGAGGTTCGTAACCAATGATTATTGAATAACGTCGAAAGAAAATAGCAGAGATAAAAAATATTTTCAACACTCAAAATATTTTCAACACTCTGCCTTTGATTTTGCCCACTAAGGAGAAAGTCATCCTTATTAGGACTCTTCAGCAATAAATGAAAATTCTTGACTCCATTCTCTAATGAAGTGATTAGGACACAAATTTCGATCGAACTCAATTTAGGCGGGTCGAGCATGAGTAGATGCGATAGTGGTATCGCCATCTATACTAAGTAAGCAGAATCAAATAACATCTAGTGGATATCCACGATGGTTTGCGTTCGCGCCTAGACTTTGATATATTTAGTGGATGTTCATGGGATATTGAATACACCTTAAAAAAATTAATTTTAAATATCTGAACGGTACTATTAGCCACAATGGCGTAATTTTTTAATAATTTGCTATATAATTACTATTATTTATAGACATTTGCATGTCTATAAATTACATTTAATGGATATAAAATAGATATCTACCATGGACTGGACATTCAGTGGATATTGGGATGTTCAGTAGATATCCAAAGGATTTGGTGTGCTGTCTGGGGATAACACAAATATGATTCCTAAATTGACCGGATCATCAACGTTTAATAATTGTACTTTGTATAACTGCATGTTTAACATAAATATTAATAATAAATGAATTAAGTTTTGTTATAAATTTTGACAATGAATATTCTGTTCCTATATTATTGTCAAATTATTGGTGGCAGCACAAAAAATATTGTACGCGACACACTCGGAAAGTGTATTTACAGGGCTCGCATGCTTTCAGGGCTCCGCCTTGCATGCTCGCCCTATAACGTATTACTTTCCGAGCTTGACACGTAAATAACTATTTATATTCAAAAAATCACATAAGACATGACTGCGACAATTGTGTTTGCCCTGAAAATTACAATTCATTGTGAACCTAGCTTTTCAATCTAAATTATTAATATTTTTATATATATATATATATATATATATATATATATATATATATATATATATATATATATATATATATATATATTTTTATATATATTTAAACCATGTGTATGTGTGAAAGGAAGAAGGATGGCATTGTATAAACCATTTGCAGAGATAGTCAATAATAATTATAAACTATAGTTAGACAATTCTTTTAAACCATAATCATAATAGTTTTTTGTTTCTATGACAACCTATAAAAATGAATCACAACAATAGGCATACAAATAATTTTTTTTTCTACACCCACATAGATATTAGCTTATCTACGCACAGATTACAAAACGAAAAAGTATGCTATTGCCTTCAACTGAACGAATATATTTCATATCCATTCTCTAGGTAGTAAGAACACACACAAAAAATAAAATCCACCAATCACAGTTCATATTTTGATCAATCGACTGCTATTATTTTTAAAATTTTAAATAAGTGACAATTCTGTCAAACTAATTTTCAGTATATTTTTCAGTTATTGAGATTAAACATACATTAAAATGAGTTATTCTTGTGTTGAATCGATAAATAATAGAATTTATATTTTTATATCGTCTATAATTATAAATAATTTGTTAATTTAAATAAAACTATATGAAGTCAATTTAATTACGAGTATTAAAGCAAAAAAAATAAACGCGTAGATGGTCCTATGGTCAGCGTTCTTGCCTTCCATACGGAA